ATTCTCCTTTAAGTGTCTGGTAGGATTCTCCAGTAAAACCATCTGGGCCTACAGATTTCTTTTTCAGGAGAATGCAAAGTACATTTGTTCAATTTAATTTACATTTTAGAGATTACTTTTATTTTATTATTATGCAAAATATTTCCAGGGTTTCAATAACAAATATAATCAAAGAAATCTAGCTGCTTCTATTCCTCCTCTCTACTTTATTCCTTCTGGCCCATTATGGGTAATCTTTTTTTTATTTTTATGGTTTACCTTTACGTGTTAGTTATTAAATATAAGCAAATGGAAAATCCAGGAATAGAATTAAACATAAATGGGAATTTATTATGTGATAGAAGTCAATTCAAATCATTGGAAAAGATGGATTAATCAACAAATGATATTGAGACATATGATTATCATTTGTAAAAATAAAATTTAAAAGTGGATCTCTAATGCTTTCCAACAAAACAAATTCCTGATAAATAAGATTTAAATATATAAAAAACATTAAAGCATAAAAAAGCCAAGGTGATTTCTTACAAAACTAAACATACTCTTACCAAATGATCCAGCAATTGTGCTCCTTAGTATTCATCCAAATGAGCTTAAGTCCACACAAAAACCTGCACACAGATCAGCTTTATTCATAATTGCCAAAACTTGGATACAACCAAAATATACTTCAGTAGGTGAATGGATAAACTGTGATGCATCCAGACAATGGAATAATATTCAGCACTAGAAAGAAATGAGCTATCAAGCCATGAAAAGACATGGAGAAACCTTAAGTGCATATTGTTAAGTGAAAGAAGCCAATCTGCAAGGCTACATATTGTATGATTCCAACTATATGACATTTTGGAAAAGGCAAAACTATGGAGACAGTAAAAGGATCAGTGATTACCAGGCACTGGGGGGAGGGAGTGATGAACAGGCAGTGCACAGAGGATTTTTAGGGCAGTGGATACATTTGTCAAACCCCAAGAGTGAACCCTAATATAAACTACAAACTTTGAGTGATGATGATGTGTCAGTGTAGGTTCATCAGTTGTAACAAACGTACCACTTTGAGGGGATGATGATACTAGGGAAGGCTGTGCACGTAGGGGAACAGAGAATATAAAGGCAAATCTCTATACTTTCGGCTAAGTTTTTCTGTAAACCTACAATGGCTCTAAAACATAGTCTGTTCAAAGGGAAAAAAAGCCAGAGCAGCTTTTTATAAAGTCTTAGAGTAAGGCAGGTCTTACTAAGAATGACCTAAAATCTAGAAGCCATAAGGAAAGACAGGTGAATTTGACTACATAAAAATAAAAGACATCTATAAGGCAAAAAACAAAAATGCCATAAGTAAAATCAAATACCAAATTAAAAACTTAAAATGAATAGACAGACAAAGAACCAGACAATGGGCTAATTATTTAAGAGACAAACAGCTCTTAGAAACTGCTAAGAAAAAGATGAGAAACTAAACAGGAAACTAAGCAAAGGACATGAATAGAGTTAATAATAAAAAGAAAATATATGTGCCCCAGGAACACACACACGTTTTTCAATCTTATATATAATTACAATACAACAAAACAAAAAATGCCTACCTCTCAGACTGACAAAAATGCAAAAATCTGTTACTACTCAATATTCGCAAAGATGAGGGAAGTCAATCTGATACACTGTAAATATAAATAGGTGCAACTTTTGGTAGGACAATTTGGCAGCACTTTTCAAAACTAAAAATAAATACAGCCTTTCAGCAGTTCCACTTTCTGGGAAAGTATGTACAAGGGTTGTTATTGCAACAATGCTTTTAATAGGCAAAAACCTTTCAATGGTAACCAAAAGGGAATTGTTAAAAAAATCTCTGAAAGATTAGCGATAGGGTATGGTTAAATAAACTAAGATTCATTTATATATCAAGAAAACAGCACAGCTGTATGTACCAATATAGAAATATGTCCATAATATGTAGTTTAGTGGAAAAAAATTTTGAAACATTATACATTGAATAATTACGCTTATTATACTGAAAGATGTCCAGCATATGTTGTTTAGTTCAAAGTATGTTACACAGCAATATATATTGGATGATTCCATTTAGGCAAAATAAGTGTATGGACACAGAAAATTTCCCAAAAAATCCATACAAAACTGTTAGTAATAGTTGCTTCTGAGGAAAGGAACTCAAGGAGTATAAAGGAGTAAGGAGAAACTTTGCCCTTCACTCTTTACCCTTTTATATTGTTTTAACTTTTTCCAATAAGTATTTTCTAATTTAGAAAGAAGTAATAAAAGCACAAACTTGAAAATAAAATAGGACTTTGATGCATAAAGCAGTGATGAAGCAAAGAGATAGAAGAATGATGAGTTAGCATAATTAGAATAAGTATAATTTCCATTTCTCTAGCAACTCTGATAAGTTTAAATTTTTGCAAATATAATAAACAGCATGCTAATAAACCAAAGGATAAAAACTGTATACTCTTCACTTAGAAAAATAATAAATGGAGACAGTAGAAAATAAATATTTATAATGCATCACTATCAATTTAGTAACTCATGACTAGACTGAAGGTTTTGGTCAGCTTTCATTTTGTGTGAACCAATTCATAGCATCCCTGTTTGTTGTTATGGAAACAAGTGCAACCAAAAAAATCACAATGTCATTGCTGAATCCCCTTGAAAGATACAAATAGATACTTCGAAAGATACCAAGAGAGAAAAGTGAAAATAAATAGAAAATATTTGAGGAAAATCAGTGATAACTTTCTCATAATTTAAACAGAGATGAAAAAATCTCCCAATGAAAAGTCCGATGGGTGAGAAAGAAAAGAGAAAAAGAAAACCCACATTTAAGCATATTGCAGTAAAATTTAAGTCTTTTCAACAAATGGTGCTGAAACAACTGGACATCTATAGGCAAAATATTTATTTATTTATTTATTTTATTTTATTTTTTCCTTTTTGTCTTTTTTTACTGACCAGTAACGGAATCGCAACCCTCGGTGTTGCGCCTGTACCGGGGACCGGCAACGGGATCGCAACCCTCGGTGTTGCACCCGCACCGCGCTCAGCCAGTGAGCGGGAACCGGTCTCCACATGGCATCCGAACCCTCGGCGGGAGCGCCGCCATGCTCCCAAGCGGCGCGCTCTCCAGTGCGCCACCGGGCTGGACCAAAAAATATTTATTTTTTTTAAAGAACCTCTACCTATTCTTCACACCGTATATAAAATTAATTCAAAATAGATCACAGACTTAAATGTAAAACTTAACACTTTTAGGAGAAAACCTATGTGACCTTGGTTTAGGCAAAGATTTCTTAGATATGACACCAAAAGCATGACCCATACAAAGGGAAAAAAATGATGAACTGAAATTCCTCAATATTGACAACTCCTGCCCTGTGAAAGATATTGTTAAAAAGAAAAGCCACAGACTGGAAGAAAATATACACAGATCCCAGGACTTGTATCCAGAATATATGAAGAACTCACAAAATTCAATGGTAAATAAACAATTAGAAAATAGGCAAAAGACGTATTTCACTAAAGAGAAGTTATAATGGCACAAATAAGCACATGAAAAGATGCTTGACATCATTAACTGATTGGAAAATGCAAATTAAAAAACACAATGAGATATCACTACATTAAGAAGAGCTAAAAATAAAAACAGTGTTAACACCAAAAGTTGGTGAGGATGCAGAGAAATTGGATCTCCCAGACACTGCTGGTGGGAATATAAAATTGTACAGCCACTCTGGAAAACAGTTTGAGAGCTTCTTACAAAACTTAGCATGCACTTACCGTACAACCCAGCAATCACACTCTTGGACATTTATCCCAGAGATATGAGAAGTTCTCACACAAAACTCTGTACATAAATATTCACAGCAGCTTTTTCCATAAATAGCCAAAACCCAGAAATACCCAAATATTATTCAATGGGTGAACAACTGAACAAACTCTGATAAATCCTTGCAATAGGATGCTTCTCAACCATAAAAAAGAATGAATTACTGATATGTGCAACAAGCTGAACAGACCTCAAGAGCATTACACTGAGTGAAAAAAATTCAATCTCAGAAGGTTACATACTGTCTGATTCCATTTATATAACATTCTAGAAATGATAAAACTATAGAGATGGAGAAAAGATTACTGGTTACTAGGGTGGGGTTGGGGTTAGGGTTAGGAGTGAGCTGGATAGCAGGAGGGACTTCTTTTGTGATGCTAGTTACATACATCTATACATGGGATAAAACCACATAGAACCACACACACGAATGCAGATTAAAAAACTGAATACTGAATTGAAAGACTGAATAAGATCTGTAGTCTAGTTGGCAGTAACATACCAATGTCCATTCCCTGGTTTTGATATTGTATTATAGCTATATAAGATGTCAACACTGGGGGAAGCTGGGGGAAGGTACAAAAGACTGTACTATTTTTCCAACTTCCTGTGAATCTACAATTATTTCACAATAAAAAGCTTTTTAAATGAGTAGAGAAACATGGACTATTCAATACATTAAATATTGCCTATCCACAGAAGTAAAAATACAATAAGAGCTCTATCTTACACTATGTAGAAAAAATTCTAGAGTATTTAAGGACCTCAACACAGAAGAAAAAATAAGAGAACATTTTTATTACTTTAGGATAAAAATAATTTCTTAAGAATTTTTTAAAAGCACAAATCATAAAGGAAAACTTCATTATTGACCTTATTCATATCTAACCCCTGTATAAAAAAAGACACCAAAAACAAAGTTAAAAGACAAGTACAGTATCTCTGAACACATGAAGCTGGAAAAGGCAAGACAACAGATTATCCCCAAGGGCCACCAGAAAGGAACATAGCTCTGCAGACACCTCATTTTAGCCCACTGAGACCTGGGTCAGACTTCTAACCTGCAAAACTGTAAGATAACAAATTTGTATTGTTTTAAGGCATGAAACATGCTAACTTGTAGTTATGGCAACAATAGGAAACTATGATAACGACTTACCTCTGTCGATTTCCAAGCATTAATCTTGAGTGGTAGTGTTTCCTGGGACAACACAGTTCCAGTAAACAACTGAATGTCTGGACACTGTTCATGTTTCAATCCTGCCTTGGAAGTGTTTTCTGTCAAAAACATAAAGCTAAGATTTTACATTGGCAAAAAACGGTAATATTTTAATATTAGCTCACAATTTTTAAGTTAATCACTTCTGAAGATTCATTATGCCTACTAAATATATGTCACTTGCCAATAGTTTCCTATGAGTTTTAAGCACTTTAATATACCTCTTTACAATAACTGATACATTCAAACTGATTTTTAAAAGACAACTCAAATTCTAGCCCTTTCCCACATCAACAACTCTATTATAAAACATCTTTCTAAAAAATAAGGTATAATATAGTATAGAAAATAGAGTTTGAAATGTGAAAGTTATTCGAATGCAATTTTAGCAAAGCCGGAATGACAACTATAATTATTCTTATTAATATTTAAAATAAATTTATTTTTGCATTGTGAATTTCATGTGTTCTAAGAGAAACTAATCGAAAATGTAGATTATCTGATAAGAAAAAGAACTTTTAACACAATTTTTAAAATTTAACTTAAACATAGAAAGTAAAATATGCCAGTGAAAATAAACTGATATTTCTACTTACATATTTTTGCTAAATTTAATGTTTTTGCAGTTTTAATATCATTTTCCTTCCTATGTATTAGTATGAACTCTAAAAAATCTCTTAAAGTATTAGTATCAACTGTATCTCAGCATATTCAAACTGGTATATGCGTACTACTGGGGGTATGTAAAGACTTCCCAAGGGCTAGGTGGGCATAGTTTTAAAGAAATCAATTTCCAGATTGGCAACTTCCACATATATGCTTTCCAAAAACCGATCTGCCTGAGAATGTAATCGTGCAGAGGCATCAGGCTAGTTCTTTCCCCCTTCCTTCTCTTAATTAATTTTCTCCCATTTTACAAAAGAAAGACATATCCTCACCCATATTATGGTACAGCTTCCCAATCCATAAGAACCTCTAAGGCACCAAACAGTAGTAAAAAAATACTGGTCTAGGAAAAACCCCCTTTAATCAAGGCATGAAAACTCCAAAGTAGAGCTTTAAGGTTTGTCCTGCCTCATACATATTTCTTTTAATAGCACAGCATGGCATAAATAACAGGGTATTTTGGTCCACATGGGGATGTCTGGTATTCAGACATATTACAGCATGGGGCGGGACAGTGAACAAGTTTCATTTAATATCTTTGTGCTTTTCATCCCCCAACTATTGTTAAAGAATGCATCATTTCTAAGGAAGAGTCCTCTGAAAGCAAAGCAAAGAAACCACAAGAGGCAGGAGGAGCACTTTATGTGGCCAATGCAATGCTCATGACAAGGCTCCATGCCTGAGCTATCCATCTTAGGAATTCAGCAGTGTGAAGACAATCAGAGCGATGTCTGTTTACACATTTATTTGACTAAAGTAAGACATTTTCTGAAAAAAACTTTAAATTTGATTTGGCTACTTTATTTTGACAGTGAGGGTTGGCTTTGCCAACTAGGCTATACGGTAAATACTTCCCCAAAATTGAATAAGCCAAATCTGTCGGTTCTAAAGAGTTTGATAACAATACATTTAAAACATATGATACAATACAATCGTTTTCTAAAAAATGTATTGTATTGACAGGTATGTTGCAATTAATATTTTTATTTTTCCCACACTTCTGGAATATATTGGGTTATAAAGTACAACAGGTTTAATTAATAGTTATTTGATACATTTTAGTAAAGATTTTTTGGTATTATTCCCAGAAGTTGAGAAAGTAAATTACTCCTAATGACTGTTTAACAAGTCTTTTTCTAAGTAGGGTGTTTCCAATTCTTTGCTTTCCACAACATTGAAAAAAGGCCTAAGTAACAGTTGGCAAGAGATGAAAAATATTTTTATAATAAATCACTATATAATTTTTGGCATATTACTTGGAAGGAATTCATAGAATTGATTGATAGTGCTATAATAAAGCACTTCTAGTCCCACATATAATTTATGTGAACAAGTTTTCTCAGCATTCACATCTATAAAAATGCAAACCAGAGAATTTACACTGAACTCTGCTTATATTTAGCAATAGGTAATATTCATATATAGGTAAATAAACAGTTCCATGAATCTCATAAAAGCATATATTTCCGATAAAATTGTATTCTTTATCTTTGATAAGTATTTATAAAAATTTATAAGGCATTTATTTGGTCTTATCAATTGTGTACTCACAATAATTGTAATGATAAGTCAATCTAGAAGAAATATTTTACCACTTAAAGCCTTTAGTCACAGAAAATTTAGAAAAATAATTTTAACTTATATATGTATTTGATATAGGAAAGACTTTCAAGCATAAAAATACTTTATATTAGGATAAAATTCCATGAGGAATGTGCAATAAAAATATGACTTCAAGGAGAAAAAGGAATAATGTAAAATGTCTAACAGTTAAAGAAAACTTCATGCATTTTTTTCAAATAAATGACTACAGGTTTCAATCACAATGGTGTATAGATTCCTTTAGATACACTTAAAAGAATGATATAACAGTTTTGTTTATTTTGGTTTTGGTTTCTTTTGTCTTTAACATCAATATTTACAATATGTAAGAGTTACACCCTTTCAGTTATTTTACTTATAAAATTTCATGTCAACTCAAAAATGAGCAAGGGAGTACATAATTTTTCAAAATCATTTCAGGGGTTATGCAAGAAAAATATCTTGAAAAGCAATGGTATAAGACATGATCCTTGCCTTCAAAAAGTTCATAGGCAGACTAGGGAGATAAGTCTAACATACAGACTTATGGGAAATAATCAGAGAACAATTATATGCTAAAGTTTCCTGAATTAAATAACTTTAGAAATAAACACACTAAAGAGGAATAAAAGCAATGTGCACCACAGTAATCAGGAAGAGCCTTAAACAGGAAGTAAAATCTGAACAAGGCTTTGAAGGATAACTAGAATTCTGATAAATGTAGAGAAAGAGAGAAGTTACTCCAAGCAAGAAGAAGTATGTGGGCAAAAGGAGAAAGTATGGAAGATGCCAGAGACACTAAAGAAATAACAAGAACTTTTCATGTATGGTTCTTACTTCATTTTGTTGTAACTTTACATGAAAACGCACAATTTTAAAATGGGCTTATTTTGGACTTGGAGATTTTATGATTAATACCAGCAAACAGTGGTGACTTGAGGCTTAGCACCTATCTACTATCACTGGATTTAATCAGGAACTATATTATCACTCCTTCAGCATTCAAAACCAAAACTATCTTTGAAATGATATGGACTTAGAGAAGTGGATTAATAAAAATTTCAGAAAGTCAATTTTGAAGTAAACTATGAGAAAAATTAAGGAATAGCAAGAATTGTGAAAGAAAAAATGTCTTGCATATTTGGAGATTAATTTTGGCCTAGAATAGCTTAAATGTTATAAACATACCTTAAAGTTACCTTATGGGACAAGAAAGAAAATTGAATATAACGAGTCTCTGGAAATGTACTAAATTTTTCTTTTTTAAAGTATCAGCACAACACTGGAAGTGAAGTGTGCTTAATTAGATTAGGTGATTACACACATTTATTTCTAGGTTTTCACAAGCAGGTGGAAGGGAGAAAACACATTTAAGTTCCTTAGTGGAAATGAAGTCCCTTTGGTATCATAAGCTACTTATCAATTGAGACTGTGAAGTCACAAGCCAAAGAGGACTAGTAAGGGAATGAGTAACCACAGAAGAAAAAGTTAAAGTGTTGCAGGAAATTAAGATATTGAGTTATATGAAAATGAGTGCTTAGATAGTGTAAGTACTTTGTAGAAACTATCTAGAGAGGAGCTGTAGATTTCGTTGAGCCTGTACCATTCAGATAATACCACAAAGCAGAATTGGTGAACCCTGTGATATTTCCTAGATGACATATCAAACTGACATTCAAACTATCAGAAATTAACAATGCAGCAGCATATTTTGGAATTGAAATGCTCCATAAATTGAACAAATTTCCAAACTGTTCCATTCAGTATTTAGCACTAATAAACACTATTGTTATAAACTGACAATGTCCTTTCAGGTGTAATCTAAGTAAGTTAAGTCACTTACTTAACAAAATTAATTTTAATGATAGACAAATGTATTCCATCACAGAAGATATTCAGTGAGCTAATGAAGAACTGGTAAGATATAAAAGTATTAGCAAAAACAGGGAATTTATCACCATTAAACCAACCTTACAAGAAATGCTCAAGTGAATCCTGTATTTGAAGCAAAAGGAAGATAACTACCATCAGGAAAATGTGCAAAAGTATGAAACTCACTGGTAGAACAGATGCACGAATGACAAAGATAAGAAATCAAACCTTATCACTACAGAAAACTACCAAACTGCAATGAAAAACAATATGAGAGGAAAAAACAAAGAATATACAAAACAACCAGAAAAAAATTAATAATGTGACAGGACTGCTTACTTATCAATAATAGCCTTGAATGTAAATGAATTCCCCAATTAAAAGATATAGACTGGCTAAATAGTTGGGAAAAAAACAAGACCCAATTATATGCTGCCTACAAGAAACTCACTTTTCCTGTAAAGACACACAGACTGAAAGTGAAAGGATGAAAAAAGATATTCCACCCAAAGGAAAACAAAAGCAAGCAGGAGTAGTTAAGTCAAAAACTGTAAAAAGGGACAAGGTCATTATACAATAATAAAGGGATCAATTCAGCAAGAAGTTATAACAATTATAAATATATATGCACCCAACACTAGAACACCCATATATTATATATAAAGTTATTAGGTCCAAAGGTAGATCCCCTTTCTCAGCATTGAACAGATCATTTACACAGAAAATCAACAAAGAAACATTGAATTTAAACTGCACTTTAGACCAAATGGACCTAACAGACACTTACAGAACATTTTATCCAACAGCTATACAGAATACAGCTAGAAGTTTATAGCAATAAACACCTACATTAAAAAGAAAGAAAAGATAGATTTCAAATAACCTAATGATGCATCTCAAGAAACTAGAAAGGCAAGAACAAACTAAAACCAAAATTGGC